AAAACTGACTAGATACACTAACTTTAGTTTGACATTGACGTAAAAATGTAATGCAAAGGTGTGGATAATTTAACATCGTCATAGCATTTCCTCTTTATTTTATTTCAATGGTAGGTACACATACAACTATGGATGATACAAATTTAAAAAATATATATCTCTGATAAAGTAACATAGCACAATGAAGCTTTTGGCGTATTTGAAAAGTTGCTTAAAATAAAATAGGTTCAATCACTTTGGACATTCAGTCAAACATGGTCTTATAAATACAGTCGATCTTCTTAAGAGCAAACCGGACCTCTCGCGAATAGAAAATGTAAGGAGTTTATATTCACGATGAAATGTGTCTCGAGAATATTAAGAGCTTTAAATTTGTGCAACGATAAGGCATCACTCTATAGAGACATGTAAGAAAAAAGGTGGGAAACTATTCCGTTTAAAAATTACTAGATATTTATTAAAACAAAAAGCAGCAAATTTTCATAGATTTAATAAAGAACGGGGCGTCATTTTTTTGAAATATTTTTAAAAATTATCAAAATAAAAACGTTTCGAAGGATTACAAAATATCAAAGTTTCTCCACTCTTAAGTTGTATTATTAGGATTTCATAAAAATCAGACTAAAAATGAAGGCACAGAAGAAATTAAAAATGTTCAAGGTGTTCGGTTTGCTCTTAATTGGAATTGATTTGTTATTTATCTATATCTATATCAGTCGTATTATCAAATATTGTAGACAAAAAACTTGCTATATTTTGTTTGATCCGTTATAACATGACATTTTGGCACCATTTTGTACATATATGGTTCTTACGTCGCTTTTATAAAAGTCAATAAAGTAATCAACATTTGCCGCGTTTGAATATCCACATCCGATGCATTTTTTACATCTCGAACGTTTGTTTATCCACATCGGACACATCTACATCTGAGTTTGTTCATCCCAGATGTAGCTGTCCAGATTACATTTTTTAAATCTCGATTTGAAATGAGATGTGAATGAGATGTTCGTTCCATGCCAGAAAGTAGGTGTTCTGTGAAGCCAAGTTTATCGATTTATCCTTTGTTTATGCTAGCGTGAATAGAAAAGTGATTAGTTTGTTTAATAGTTGTTTAGATTTCAAATTTAGGTTGATTTCTAGTCTTAAAGGTCAATTTTAAAAATAAGAACTTCTAACTTGTCATTGTCATTTTATCACGTGACCAATAAAGTCTAGAGCGTTTGTTTATTACATCTACAAAATTGGTGAAAAGAATCAAAATAATGTGAAAAAAAGTACCTGAGTACAAGTAACATGAGTGACAAAAAACATCAAAGCAAGATTTACGTCGTTCCAGATTATAAAACAGAATAAAAATCAAATGTAAAATTAAAGAAAACACAAGAAGAAATCAATTCAATGTCTTTTTAAAGCTTCTAATGTAAGTAAAATAATATATTCATGTCTAAATATAATATTTATTGTAAACTAGTCACAATATGTATCTTGCGAAGTGTAGTTTATTTTATTACAAGTTTTTATAATATTAAAATTTTAGTCATAGATGTTGACTTACAAACAACAATAATTATGCATTAAATTTAACTTACTAGAAAAGAAATTTTATTTTTTATAGAGTTTTAATGTTAGATAAAGAGTCGTTACTCTTATTTTTTTTTACCCCAATTGTGTCATTGTAAACCTTTTTTATAGGATACTAAACGTTTAGAACAGTGGCAGCATATATATCGTTCCTAGTGCCGATAGAGCACTTTCTAGAGATGATGCTGTTCTATACTTTTTAGAAGATAGTATATAGTATGAGACTATTTTTACTGATGGTACTGTTAGCAAAATAAAAAGGGGTAAGATGAAATTAAAGGATGAGGTAATATCATACGTACATTCTCAAATCTCCCTTTATACTTGTATTACAACAATAAAAAATCTGTTAACTGTGTTTTATTTTGCTCTTAAAACTATATATAGGTTCAATTTAAAAAAAAATTGCCACAAAATTGTACATATCAAATTTCAGCATTTAACAAACCTCTTCGAATTTGGTCATACCTACCTAATTTGTATTTTATATAGGTAGAATTAAATTAAATTTAGCTATAAACAAGTTTATTTTTAATATTTTGACAAAATTAGGTATGTATAATTCCCATAAGAAGCCATGTATTTCGAACAACGTATGCAGTACCAGCGCCCATGCGGTTAATTATACCTCAATTAGCATGCGTTTTTTGGGACCGTATTTTGAGTATGCCGATTCGCCTCCTTATCTCTAGTCTTCATAGATCTAATCCTCTATCACATCATAAAAAATTCAAAACATCTCAGATGCATCCGATGTGCATATTCAAACGCAGCAATTCTTAAAACTTTTTTGTCTGATACAATTATTCAATATACCGGTTGTAACCTTCACATTGATTTATTTTTACCCGGTCAGGTCAATGTGAGACCTATGACTAAACAAATCGTAGAAAGGTTATTTACATGAAATTTGATTAACAGGAGTTCTTCTAAAAAAGTTTAGTAATATTTTTTCTGATTTCAAACATTATTAAATAGAAAATTTACAAAGTTATCCAAAGTCAATATTTTTCAATAACTAATAATTCTAAATGACTTTAAATGGTTCCTAGATTTTCTGGAAAATAGTGCGTTATAGCAATTTTAAACAGGAGTACATTATTTTTAGAAGATACCTTATAGTTTATAAATGTTAAATATCTGAAGGTAAAAAAATTATAAGTGACAATCTAAGGCATGAACATACACGGGAAAATCTTTCATGTACTTTAAAAATTTTGCACTTAACTGAGCATTATACGTATGTCTACAACTGTCTAAAACGTCACCGTTGACACAAACCGGTCGCTGTCCTTTCGAAAACGGTCCTTGGCACTTTTCCTCGATGCCATTTTCATTAAGAACGCTGTAGATTTCTTTCAAACACTGACAGAACCACGGGTTACCCATGAGGGTAATTTTCCTCAGCCCGCTCGATCTCACGAAAAATTTGGACGTCAAATACATCAACCTGTTGTGGTCTAAATAGAGGTTTTTCAGAAAATCCATTCCTGATCTGGGAAAAATATCCCCGTCGATGTCTTTCAGTTTATTGTGAGTCAAAACCAGCGTATTCAAATTTGGAGTATGTTGAAAACTTCCACTTTCTATCACGGATATTTGGTTGAAACCTATATTTAGGATTTTTAAATTGGTCAATTTTTGCAGCATGTAATTGGTTATGAAAGTTAAAGAGTTGTTGTGCAGCCAGAGGGTTTCCAATTTTTCAGGATGGCTCAGGATATCGTGTAGGAAAATAGTTTCTAACTTGTTGTGATCCAGAGTTAATTTTTTTAAATTCGTAACTTCCTGAAACGATTCATCTTCAAAATGATTTATATTGTTGTGCGAAAGTATAATTGATTCAAGTTGTGTGACGTTTCGGAAAATACCTTTTCTCACAACTGTCAGGTTATTGTAACTCAGATAGACCTTTTGGAGTTTGGGCAAATTCAAAAAAGCCGGCGTGTAAATCTCTGTTATACCATTGTAATTTAAAAAGAGGTATTTCAAATTTGGTAGGTCTCTGACGGTTTCACCATATATTTTTTTAATACGACTCCATCGTATTGTAAGCCTTTCCAAATTTTTTATTGATTTAAAAGTTCTTGCAGCCACTTCGCTTATTTCGTTTCTGTTATTTATTTCTATACTAGTCACATTTTCATATATTGTAGATAAAAATCCTGGTGTAATTTGTTTGATCCGTTCACATGACACTTTGGAACCATTTTGTACACACTGGGTTCTTACGCCACTTTTTAAAGACAACAAAATCATCAGCACTGTTAAAACTTTTCGGCATGCAAACATTGTGGTACATTGTTTGATAAAATTATTCTTTATACTGGTTCTAACCTTCACATTGATTTATTTTTATCTGGTCAAGTCAGTGCGAGGCGTATGACTAACCAACTCGTAAAAAGGTTATTTACATGAAATTTTATTGTGAAGAATTCTTCTAAAAAAGCTTACGAGAGTTATAAATTCCAAAACGGAACTTCTATTTTTAATAATTTTATTAAGTAAAAATACACTTAAATGGATTTTAAGACAACTCTGGACTAAAACCTACACTAAAGCTACCTCAAATAACAATAATAATAAGGTTTTACTCCTATTTATAAACTAAAAATGATTATTAAGCAAAAATAATCTAATTATAACATAAAAGAGTCTATTATGTTCACAATATATAACTCCTTCCTCCTTAAGTTTTGAAAAACATGGAGCTATTTTTCAAGACATCTGTGGGATTTTCTAATTCAATTTCTTCGTTTTCTATCTTCTATATCTTTTAAAAGTTGTCTTCTGTATTTAATTAGTATTAAAATAATTATGCAAATAAAAATTGTTCCAAAAGTGCTTGAATAATTAAAATTATTTTGAATTTCTTCATTTGGCTTTAATTGTTTAGAAATTTGTTTAATTTCATATAAATAATTAAAATTTAATTTAGTTATATTAGAAGTTTGATAATTTTTTTAAGTTTGAATTTTCTTCATGTCGATCTTCGGTAGAATGAATTGCTTTCCTCTGCTCAGTTGAATGTTATTAATATATCTTCTTTCATTAGTGCAAATTTCACAAGATTTTGATATCTTGATTAATACAAGTGACCTTATGTGTATATACCGGTTACTGTTACATTTTGAAAGAATTTGTTCAGGTTTTAACGGGATTATTAAGACTTCATCGACTGCGATTTGTTCGAATACTGATTCTTCTAAATTAACATATAAAATATGACAATTTTAAGTTTTTCCTTCAAGAAGTTGGAGAGTACAATTATCTCTGGGGATGAAATTCTGTTGACAATAATAGATTTCTTCAAGGACTGGACATTCTTCTTGTTCAAACTGTTTTTGTGCCAAATAGGGGAATAAAGGTGTATACACTTTTTGGTTTTGCATAATTGGGAATAAATGATAAAATTCAAAGGTATTAATTACTTTCAAAAATAGGAAAATGTATTGCAAAAATTAACTTAGATTCTGAAATTGATACTTGCGTTCCGAAAAACTGATAATACGTTAATAAATTTGTAAATTTCGGAATTTGATCAACATATATTTTACTTAAATATTTTATCATGTTTTTTATGTCTGAGCTGGAAACTGTGGAATTATGTAAAGTATTTAATTTTGTATGGGTTATGGCATTTTCTAAATTATCTATAAAAGAAATTTCCATTTGACAATCTAAATCAATTTGTGATATAATGGCCTGAAAACTAACATAACATTCAAGTGTATCGAAGAAATTCATTAGAACAACATCGGCTAATAAAGTGAATGGTTTTCATTTTTTTATGCAGGAATTGTAAATTTTTAATGTTAAATCTTAAAACCTGATAGCTAGCAGGAGTAATATATCAATCGTTTCCAGTGATCTTTGTGTAGAGTATGGTCTTGGTTTTCATTGTTCTTCTAGCATTTGCTTAAAAAGTGACAACAAAAAATTTAAGGTTAGTTTAAATACTTTAAATCAGGTCTGGGTAAAATGGGAAATTAGTATTGTGGGTAAAATTTGGTATCCCGTTTTACCTAAATCAAATGAGCGTAGTTTATTTTATTCTATTTTTTTTAGATGCCACACGTTTACAAAAGAAAAACTAATCGGTAATCGTAGTATAGTATACTACTGTACAGAGCAGGCCGTTGTCTGTACCGTAGTAGGCTATATACCATCTTTTAAAGTTATGCCACATTACAATGTGTACGGCGATGCAGACATCGGTCTGTTCTGCAAACTAGTATAATATGTAGTCGACAAAAGCGTATTTATAAACTACAAACCCTACTCGATTGCAGAACTTTGAAATTATTCGTTGTAGGAACGTATACTTCCTTTACTTGGAACTAGCAATACCTATTTTATAACAGGTAAATGAAGTATAAATGTTTATTCCCAATAATGCAATTTTATTTTAATAAACATTGAAATAAATATTATAAAATATGTTGAAATAAAGATAATATACTATAAATTATTTATTTATTATATTATAAAATAATATTAGGTTAAACATTTATTAGTGTTTTTTTGTAATTATTTTTTCTATTGTATTAGTGGCACCGACTTTTAACATTTCACTACAACTAAGAACTACCAATATTAATTTAGTAATATTAAAATGGTTACTACAACACCCTTGTGATTCATTACAGCACGCTCTCTATAAGGGCTAAGTAAAGAGTTAGGTAGGTAATTAATAGTTTTCATATTAGAAATAGAAAAACATCATAATGCATTTTGATTTTAATAAACAATAAAATAAAGATTATAAAAATGCTAGTAGCTACATTTTCCAAATTTTATATATACAGGGTGGCCGTTTGAAAACAAAACAGAGCCAATTTTGGGCACCCCAGGTCATTTACGAAAAAACGCTTGGACCCGTCAATTTTTGATTTAAGGGGGAAACATTTTTTTGCTAGTTTCACCCCATAAACGGCAACCCTCTAGCGGGGGTGAAATTTACCCCTAAAATCTTAAATGGAAAGAGGGATCAAATAATAGCTTATTTTGAAGGTAATTTTACATAGATTATAACCCCTGAGTTTTAAAACGCTACTAGCTTCCTAGCCATGATCTTTAAGAGGGTTCTATACCCGTCCGCCATATTGGAAATGTTAATGTTCAAATTGCGGGCTTAATACTCATCAAAAAAAAATCTTTTTTTGTATCCGAGCTTCTTATGCATCGTAGATTGGCGCATGATAACTTTTTTTATAAACATAAAAAAAATAAAATAAAAAAAATATAAAAAAAGTCATATACGTATATAAGTTATCATCCGCCATTCTTCATTTGCCACTGAACAACTTGTGTATTTACCATTTTTAAAAAAAGTAAGTAGTTTTTTCTAAAATTGAACATTACTTAAAAATCTCAGAGGGCACCGGGAGGTGCTGCCACCAACGGTCCTCATTTACGTTTGGATACCATGATAATTAATATTTTCTATGCCAGATGGCGCACCAGTCGCGAAAAGTATGTTCAGTTGCCTAAACCAATAAATATTACAGAGTTTCCTCTACTCTACATTCTCCGATCTATTTATAGAACGACAAACAATAAATATTGTGTATATTTGGCGAATTTTGAATTCAATTCCAGCTTTTGGGTTCGGTGTTGCCGTCTCTACAGATAATTTGTGAATCCACAGACAAAGCTCATAGTAGCGTTGGAAAGTGTCCGTTTTTAAAATACATTTCTGAAAAAAAAATTATTCCTAATGAAAGTTGTTTTTATTACGAAAAATAAAGTTCACAGAAAGATAATTAGGGTGCGCATAAAATTGCTATAAAATAGGTAGGTACCTACCTATTTTGCAGAATAATTACAAAATCCGAGCGGGAAATTATGAAACGAGCTTGTCGATTTTGGTCCGAAATTATAAAATAACACACTTTCTAAAAAAATAATCCTAAGTGCAGCTCCGAAAATTTTACGGTCGGAAAAAATTACTAAATACCGATTTTGCTTAAATAGTGGAGAAAAAGAATCACTTTTCGACAAGGCTTTGCGTTGCATAATGAAACCAAAATCTAAAACGCCATTCATAAACAGATCATTTTCTATTCTGTGCAAATAAAAAGAAAAAATATTGCCACTTTTGGAAACGTTGTAATTTCATGTATTGTCATCAAAATTAGTGAGCTGTCGGTGGTTGTCAAATATCATTGAAAATGCGAATCAAATAACAAATACAGACATTTTTAATTGTATGTTTATTAGTAAATTTGGCATTCCAAACAAATGAAACGCGCTGCTAAGGTTTGGTATGTCTAAAGGGTTGCGACAAACTATGTAGTCTATTCACAATACGTGAAATCAAAATTAATGAATTAAATATAAATATTTATGCCAAACGCAATGAAAAATTATCTTTATAAGAACCGTTTATGCATTTTCTATAAATTGATAGGCTTGACGATTACTATTTTAAATAAAAATAGCGTTCAAGATGGAAGGCTATGTCGCAACCCCCTTAGATTTATGAGCCCTTCGCACTGGCAACTATTGTATGACAGGTCGTTGGAATATCTAATATCTAATTGTGGGAGTAATCACTGTGACTTTTAAATCGGCAAAGAAGTGGTTTTTATTATGGGTCGAGTTTTATCATCCGATAAGAAGAAATATGGTTGCCGTAAGGCAAAAAATAAAAAATTGGCGAAACTGAGGTAAGTAAATGTCTATTTATATATTCTATAAAATCTTGTTTAAATTTTTGGTTGGGTTCTGGCGCAGAATCCAGATGTCCTAATTTTTATATTTCTACAACATGATTTTAGATCTTTGAGGAATCAGAAGACATCTCAGGAGGCACCATCACCAACACTGGAAGCTGGACCTTCTGTTGAACAGTAAGAAATTTTTCATAACTTTTGCTATAGACAATATCAACTATGCATTTGATTTGTGTCGTTATTTATTGCCCTTAAAATGTTTTTATTTGTGACTGCTTGATATGAATTATTTATTCATATTTTCACTATACCTTTCTAAGTAATTTCATATTTAATTTTAGGGAATCGCTTGATGTTATTCCTTGGGATCCGTTCCAGCAGGATCATGATTATTGCTCACTACCTTTAGACAGTAAAGAGTAAGTGTGTACTTGTACTTCTGTAGCTTTATTTCCCTTCTCATTGGAATATATTTTTTATAGAATTGTAAGTCAAAAGAAGATGATTTCAACAGATAACTTGGTTGAGAATGTGACTACTGAGGAAATGTAAGTTTTTTTCTAGTAGGCAAGGCCACAAGTTAAAATAACTACGTTTACTAATATATTTTATAATTATGTTATATAGAGTACCGCCAGAAATGGAAACGGAAGTACAATTTCAACGTATATTTCACAATAAGG